AAATTGACGAACTGCATCATTAAATATGTGGGCGGAATAAGTCTTAGTTCGTATCTCTTTGCGTTCTATTTATTTACCACAATGAAATAAGGAAATGGTATCGCAAGGAAATGAAAATCAGCTGTTAAAATGGACACACCTGTGGCTAACAATTAACCAATTACCTTGTATTTTATCGTATAAAAACATTTCATTTGTCCGAAGCTTAACAACAGCCGATAACGTCCTCGCCAAACAGTCATCTCCACCAGGTTGTTCAGAAGTAAGACCAAACATTTGCGCCATATTATCTTTAAACCTATATATTTTATGATTGACATATTCCGTATTTCTCAACCTGGAAATCATAAATAGTATATTCACACAAGTTTGTTATAGAATTGATATATAATTTTAACTCTCATTATGGTCCATCTGTTCTAACAAACAATTGATAATGACCTACTCAGTTGAACTCTTAGAAATCTTGTAGCGACCAAGCTTAAACACACACGTATTACCTACTGTCAATTTTAATTGTATTATTTAGAATTGGAAGAAGTTCTTACCACACGCTGTTCATTATAAGCAAAGTATTGAAACTAGTTTGCCTTGAAGCGTAAACTAGTGCTCTAAAAGTCCGCAATAGACAGAAAACTAAAAGACGATTGAACAATGGGTCCAGGGGCCTTGATCGGCCATCGGTAAGGAGGACATTAGAGGACTATAATTAGAAATTAGGAATAATGCTTACAATTTAACAATTTTATAATTCTTGTCATTTTTTTCACAAAATTGCAATATAATTGATTAATAATTTTCAAAATCTACAATTTTGTATATCCTTAAGTTAACTTACCATCAGCTACTTAAATACAAGCAGGGCAACAATTGTATTTAAGAGAAATATATATACAAATGTCTTTTTTCTGTTGACATTTACAGATAACAATAGTTTTATTGCCATTCATTTTCATATTCTTGCAAAGTTAACCAACATCGACATGGGAATGGGAGAGAAAGAAAAAATAGAAGAAACTATTCTTAAAGAGCACCTAAAATGAGCATATCAAGGTGGTATGTACTTTAATTAAGACAGTTTTTATTACATACACTTACAGTACTTTAATTAAACTCCATTCATAATTAATTGAGGAATATTCACTCAAAGTCGTAAATATAGACCTCCTCAAAAAATAACGTCGCCAAACAAGGTCAGTGACGTCCACTACTGGTTATGTTCGGAAACATTAAACACGAACCAGTCAGCCAGTTGTAAACAGTTAAGGGACATACTTTGTACTCTGGACCCCCATATGGTATTTGGGTAACGAAAGAGAGAATTACCTTATATCAAGTCCAATATCAACTATGATCCAAACACCTGTCCATCATTTTCATTGACTGTCAATTATTCCTTTTATTATTAAGGTGTAACGAGGATAATAAAACAGTCGGTTTGCTCTTATCTGCATATCTACCATCGCTTTAGTGTTGTTCTTAATACGATTTAAGTTTGAAAATTAAAAGCACCTGGCCTTGTTTGAGCACTTTCTGTTTTTTGGGTTTTTTTTAATGTTCCTAACGTTTGCTTTACAATACAGTAACAACATATTAAACCGACGCGGCAGATCATAAGACCTGCCAATGAGTCAAGTGGCGTGTTTGATTCTCACCTTGTAGGTGACAATGGGTATGGTCGCCTGCCAACCTCTTGGGGTTTTTCCGGGTTACCTGGTTTCCACCAATTGTTGTCGACCCTAAACTCAAGCGAATTATATAAAATTGAACCATAAGTTAGTCCCAAACTGACCTATTTTGTGGTTTCTCCCTCTGTATTAAAGCGAACGTTGGCACATAAAAGGACACCAGACGGTGCTGCACCAAGACAATCTTCATGAACCTTCTCGGCCAACGCAGGGATCGAAAACGGGATCTCCAGTTTAACAAGCCAACATCTTAATCACTGAGCCACCGTGGTTGCTATTAATGTTACCACGATTACCTTTGTTAATACCACTGCTATTATTACTATAATAATAGGGTTTACGTCAACTTCCACCATAGGTCATATCGCAGAAAAGCCGTCGCAAGGAAACTTGCCAGAAAAAGCCAATCAATAAGTAGACACTCCCAGACCAAAGGGGCAATATGAAAGGGATCCCGAATAACAAATTAGATATCTAGATCCAGACTGATCCGATTAGATGGAAACTATTGCGTCGCCTTGTCACATGGAAATGTCATCCATTCTAACCTCTTTCCAGTGCTGACCGGTCCAGATTGCAAGCTCTGCTCCAGTTACATTCTATTAGGATATGTTCAGGAGTAACGTCTATGTTATAACCACATCTTCTTATTTACGTGAATAGAAATCGACTCATGGTGTACCTTGCTATCACTATGCCAGCAATTGCTCATGGACTATAGATATCTGCTACATGAAGTCGGGGCGGGCGTCTGACTTCTCAGATCTAATTGATTCGAAGCTACTTTATGATTCACCGGGGAAAACAATTAACATTTGATCGTTTTTGACCCAAAAACTACACCAAGGCCCCGATGAGAGCATAAATTTCAGATATAATAATATAAACAGAGCACATATTGTACAATCTGCTTGATACCGGTGATTCTTTCCCCGGGGTATATAACCTCTTGTACCATTCATTGAGCTATGTAAATCCAACCTAACCATTTATTACCATGAAGTAACGAATTGCACAGGAATTTTAACTTACCCGAGATCTTCGGAATGTAAAAAGCAACATACAACATGTTATTAAACTAAACTGTAGACCGAATGCCGAACTTAGTTTTGCTTTTTATTATTCAGTTAATCAGAAACGATTCTAAACTAAAGAAAAAAATATTAATTTGATCGAATTTGTTTTTTCTAGAATATTAACTATTTATAGTTTATTGAACTCGTTCGCCATTCATGCAAGATGTGTGTAACATTATATGGTATAAACCTTTTTTGCTAGATTGATACTGGAAAGATGTGTAATATACATTTCGTTCTCAAGCCTTTAATCTAAGTAAAATGTTCACAGATATAGCTCTAGGATCAGGATAAAATGGTTCTGATAAGAGATAACGTCTCAATTGTAAAAAAAGAGTCTAGTCATAATTAATAATTCACCTATGCTATTAATGTAACCCATGTTAGAAATAAGGAATATAGTTTGTCAATAATGATAATGAGTGATCAAGATTTAGTTAATTGAAAGGTTTGTGGTTTACATTTGTAAGTTACAAAATCTAAGTTAGCAGAATGAAAATATTGGGTTTAACGTCGTACTTTTCTGCGCCGACTGGGCTAATGAAAACGGGCATACGCCATGCACTGTGCTATGAGGGAAATTCTGCCCGGACAGCGGCACTGTAGCCTACTCTTATATCGAATTCCAAATGTCAAGGTTCTTTTACGTGCACGCCAATGTGTACACGGGACCTCGGTTTTTCGTCCTGTTCGAACGACCAGAAAGCTTCCTTGTCAGGCTGTCAGTCTTTGCACCACTTACATTACTGACAAGGTGAAACCGCTCTGGAAAATCTAGAGGAATTTTCTCGGCCAACACCAGGAGGGGACCCTAGACCTCCAGGCTAGCCAATCAGCGTCTTACTCACTTATTTCTTCAAAATAGAATTTGGTGCTGGCCGATAAAGTTCGCCGAAATTTTCCAGAGTTATTTCCACTTGTCAGTGATGCAGGACAGAGGACCGAGCAATGAAACGTGTCTAGTTTTTCGGATCGTCGAAAAACTGAGTTCCCGCGTACACATTCGCGTACACGTAAAAGAACACACTGTACGGTGTGTGTCCGTCTTCATTAGCCACGGTTGGTGCCGATAAGTAGGACGGTAAACACCATTTTATTCTTTCATTCTAGGTTAGAGAAAGAGCCTGTGTCACTTATTTCTTCAACGTAGAAGTTGGAGCTGTCAATTTACTGTTGTAAACAAAACGTCTCTTTACCACAAATTAAGGAAATAGTGATGACGAGAAGGATGTTCACATGTGAACTAAGAAGTTCACATGTGAACTAAAATCAAAATACAGTGGTAAAAATCTGTCACCAATAATATGTGGTATCAGGCGTTCTAGACTTCTAGATAGACGAAAAACCGTGGTTTAAATAACCAAAACACGATTTCATTAACCGATGAATGGTATTTGTTTAAATAACCAAAACACGAATTCATTAACCGATAAATGGTATTTGTTTAAATAACCAAAACACGAATTCATTAACCGATGAATGGTATTTGTTTTCTAGAATGGGTAATCACGCCATGATACCCATCATGAGTAAGGCGCCGGTGGCTCATTAACCGGCTTTCGATCCCGGTGTTTGCCGAGAAAGTTTGCCGGGATTTTTCAGCGTGGTCTCATCTTACCAGTGGTGCTGGGCGAAGGGCCTGGTAAGGTCAGTGTCTAGTCGTTCGGGCGGGACGAAAAACCTATGTCCCGTGTACGTCCCGTGGCCCGGGCCAAATTTCCCACATAGCAAACTGTATGGCGTCTGTCAGTCTTGATTAGCCCAGTCGGGTCAGAAAAATAGGACATTGTTTGTCAATTTTGTCAATTTAATTTCATTTGTAATCATGTTAACAAAAATGTTAACGTTTTCACATCCATATGCAATGAGCCATTCTTAAATATTCTTAATTCAATAACATACACAAAAAAGTTGTAAGATAGAGAGAAATAAGGTTTGATATCAACTCGGATTTAACATAATATGGTTTAATATCATTTCAATAATTCGTGTAGGGTTCCATAAAAGTAAAACAATTTGTTAGTCAACTAAAAACAAATGGTGTGCCACGTGGAATTAGTACCGACAAGGAATATTCACTATAACAAAATAATTGTCACGTAACAAAAATGAATTTGTTAATATTTTTTTCTTTCTTGGGAAACAATAATTAATGACTTTGTTTGATTTTTTACACTTTACGGCTTCTTTGTATCAGGCGAATGCGTGTAAGATTTCGAAACAATATTTTACTTACCGTTTAAAGTTCGTTGGTAGTAATATCCCAGTGTCAAAACAATTACGACACAATAGTCAAAGATGGTGAAGTGTGTTTTCAAGTGCTATTAATTTATTTCAGCTATCTAATCTGAAAGAATAGTTTTTAAAATAAATTGCCAAGACAAGTAGCTTACCCTGTCTCGCTCTATCTAAACGATGAGCATGTTGGCAAGAGGTTTTCACTATTACGGTATCCTATATCCTCTCAGCTCCTCACAGGCGCTGATCGTTTCAATCACAACTGGGTATCGATCCTTGCTTTAACGGCCGACTTTCGTGTCGACACACGTGGTCTTGTCAACAACACATAATATCAATAAAGCCGTACCTTATTGAATTTAGCGAGCAACAAGTAGAGAGAGGGTTTACAAGATTGGTAATTGAGCAACAGTTGTTCCGCGGTCTTGTTCCAGTAATTCACTGCAATTCCCAGAATGTGATGCCGGCTTTCAGCAGCTAATATGGTTTTAAAGATCGTGTTTCCAACGCCATGTGCACAAATAAGTAGCGTCCATGTAGCTAATAGACTCTTTATTTAATTTAAAAATGTAAATGTGAGATTGAAGGGCGATATCCACAGTATATAAAAACAAAAACAAAATAAAACAAAAAGCAAATGAAAAACACTGAAATGGGGTTTAACGCCTTCCTTTTCTGCACCGAATAAATGAATACCAATGGTACTATAATTTCGTATTTATGAGAATATAGGCTTACACTTGCATTTCCCTTGATTTGTTCTCTCAGTGAATTCTTTTATAAGACCTAGTGTCTTGAGTACTGACAATCCTTCTTTACGTAATATTAAAATCCTACTTGATCTGTGGACGATTTAAGAGAGTATGAGTAAAGAGTCGGTTTTATACTTATTTTAGTATGTAAACAAAAGTACAAGGGCGTCATATATAAGCATGAGAGAAGTCTGTGCGTAAAAACACGGTATACCATAGCATTATTAAACAATAAAAAATGCTGGGGTGTCAATCATATTTGAAATGGTTACTAGTATTTTGAAAGAAAAAAATTTGAAGAATTTGTCCCGGATATGTAGATTATGTCCTACAGACTGCAAAAATGAAACGAAATGGGGTTTAACGTCCTACTATTCTACACCGACTGGGCTAATGAAGACAGGCAAACGCCATACGGTATGGGGGAAACTTTGCTCAGACAGCGGCACTATGGCCTACTCTTATTTAGAATTCCAACTGTAAATGATTCTTTTATGTGCACGCAAATAGACTTGACCCAGGATTTTCGTCTCACTACTGAAAAGGGAGAACCACGCCAGAAAATCCTACTTAACTTTGATGACCAACGACAAGGTTATTGGGCCAACGTGTTGCTAAAAGTTACGAAGTGCTTATTTAACCAGAACACCCGAAAGAGAACAAACGGGAGAGAGAGAGGGGGGGGATAGGGTTTAACGTCCACTTAACACCAACTTGGTCATTTCGGGGCCAACATTATGTTGCAATTCTATTTCAATAATTCGCTTGCGTTTAGGGATCTTTAGCAATGAAAGGAAACCGGAGGACCCTCGCCTTGTCACGCACAAGCGGGTAATCGAAACTATGTCACTTGTATCAATGACAGCCCTTATGATCCAACCATTTGTCACCCAGCCCCATTGTTCTCTTGTTATTAAACTCACGCAGTTAACACCCTTGCATTCATCTTGACATCCGCATGAAGCTTTAAGCATATTTTGTTTCCCTCTTTTTTAAGTATAATTCGTCGTCAGTGTGTTTGTCAGCTACACAATCAAAACCGATTTTTAAACAAATTGCGGATTGTGGTACCACACAGAAAGATAAGGGCTGTGAGAGGATATTTTTTGATGGGGGAGGGGATTTTGGGGTTCTTTTTCCGAAGTTCAATAAGTTGTGGAACTCTGTGGCGAAAACACCACCGATTAAAACAAGAGAGATACGGGGTGTGTAAGTAGTCCGAAGTCCCCAAACTTTGCCATAAATGTGTACAATCTCAGGACGTATTTCCATCGTGTGAATTGTACATAATTCGCAACTAGAATCTTTCAAGTCTGGATCCCACAAGGTTAACTGCCTAGTAGCTTTGATTTTCATGTAGAAGAAATATCAAGGAGCCGATGTATCATCGACATACACTTGCAAATTTTAAACAGTGTTGGGCTCAACACGCAACGCTGTTTGATGCCAATTTATAGATTTGTTTGTTCGGAAAGGTCAGTGTTGGGTTTAACTATGTATGAAACATTGCGATACATTTCCATTTATATTGCGTTTAAGTAAATATAATTCACCGAGTGTGGTGCGCTAATTAGAACTGTTCCAAATGATAGCTATGGGTGTTGTGGTAAATAATGCCCTACTTTACAGTCTGGGATTTGGGTGTCTAAGTTTTGGGAGATAACCGACGAAGTTGTCCTAAAGCTATCTATTGTTTTGAAGATAAAAATTAGTTAAATTTATTTTCTTGTTGAATATGATAATGCATGTTTAAGAAAATAATTTTAAAATCGTAGTTATTATGTCATATCGGGAAGTAATCATAAACCTATTTGATTGGATTTATATTTATCAACTTTGAAAGCAAAATCGTTACTCACGATTTAAATAGTATTTATAAGCGGACGAGAAAAAGATTCATTACTATTTGAGCAGAGGCTTAGTAATATAGGTCACTTTATTTAACTTTACAGTCAAGTAATTTCCTTGAATAAATATAGAACACCTCAAAAATAGATTTAAATGTATTTTTCTGTCTTCAAACAAAACAAGATTGAAACCTTTTTACAACACAAATCATAACGTACAAACACTAGTTCTCTGTTCTGCTACACTCAAAAAACACTAACGTAAGAATGACTCTAATTTAAAATTTGACAATGTTCCTTTGTAAAAAAATATTAGTAATAAACTGAGTGAACTCAGATATATGTTTGAAGAAAGAACATTTGAAAATACACTAGTTAGCCGACCAGAACATTTCTAATAGGGGTAGGATGCTCTAGGAGTTGGGCTCTGACCGTGTAAAATAGGAAACCGTCCTTCCATCACTAAATTTTCAATTTATCTTATAGGTTTATTTAAATTGGTGCAAGCAGACATTCGACCTGTGCACATATCTTCATAACAAGTTAAATGAGACCGAAATTATTTCCACAACATGTCGTAACACTGGAAGTATATCAACATGTTGTAACACCATTTCGTGAGAAATTATGTTAAATCTGCATCATATCCGTACTATTTCGTAATAAACAATAAAGTTAAACTGACATCTTGAACATAACATTTCGTAATGTAATTTCCCATATTATACATTTCTGCTTGCACCACTTCGTAACAAGTTAGGTTAGGCATGCATTCAGTCGAATGCAATGATTAATTGTGGCCAACGGAGACGCCGTGTCGAGGAAACGAAATTTTACAAGTTAATTCTTTTTTAATCTTTGATTGATCGATCGACATACAGTTGCGCTTTCCTCGGAATTGTATAAATTACGTATAAGTATATTCAATCACTCCACAATTTTTATTTACCTACAAAACAATTCAGTTTATCTACAGATATCGAAATATTAACAAATATTAACAGAAAACATTTCTGATGTTGTATTATGTGCAATTGGCTAAACCTCTTTCATTTAGATCAATGGGTTTCTCTGATGTATAATTTCGAGTATTAAAAAAACAAATCGGTTATATATCAACATGGGCTTTATCTGAGAATCTAAGCTTTTAAATGTAGACATGCAAGAATCGTACCAAATCAAAGCGGTAGTATCTTTTAATGTAGAAAATTTTGTTGGTAATAAATTATAGATTGTATATGACTGATAAATTCACACGAGAAAAGAACTCTGTGTATAAAATAAACTAACACAATCGTAGGTTAGGAGAAGGGGTAGCCTTTACAATTGTTTCAGGGGTATAGTGTCAACAAAATCGTTCTCAAATATTATTAGCTGTATGAAACAAACAATAACTTACCTGTTTTTGAAGCTAAAATACGAATTGAAGTCCAATCATACTTTTACACAACACTCATTTCATCATCTTAAAATGTTTAGACATGGACGTGGACGACAATGCTCTCATTATTTTTTTTACGAATGTCGTTAAATATGATGGATGACTGGCAACGACCCATATATGTCAAGGGGTGTTTTATTTTACAGATCCATCTCATTAAATATCACACGAAAGTTAACCCTATATTATGATATGTATAACTCTTAATTACTGTCCCATCAGAATATACCGGTTTTGAATCCCGAATTGGGGCCGAGAAGAACTGTAAGATTTTTTTTCTATTTGTAGTAGAAGCCGTCTAAGAATTGTGATACTTCTGACCTGGGTAGGCGTTCCCCAATGAAGGAACAAGGGGATAAAGCGGCAAAGTAAAAACTAAAATATTTTTTTCCATGCCATTAATGAAAGAAGAACAAGATATTTAATGAAAATGTGTCTTTTAGATGGGCATTTAGAATTATTTGGGGTTTAGGGGTCGTAGGTACAGTTCAGACGAATTCTCGCCGCGATCCTCTCGGGGCATAGAAACTGGGGTTTGGTAATCCTTGGGTCTCTGTGTGTGAGGACCACAAAACGTTATCTAGATATATTTGCCTTTAAAAAAGTTTTAGTCGGTAGCACCTTCTCTTTGTTAATTGCCATGAACCAAGGCCATGCACCAGCATCAGCTTACACTTAGGCAGTGGCGGCGCCCGGGGGGGGGACAAGGGGGCCCTACCCCCCCATTAATCTGGTCTGCACTTTGTTTGCCCCCCCCCCCCATAATTTTAGAAAATAAAAAAAAAATATTTGTGATAAGTTTCGGTAATCAATACCTTCTACGGTGAATAAATCCCACATCCTCACTTAGTCATAAACTTGCATGTTGTAGAGCATTTCCGACAGTCTATTTTTCAAAATTTTCTTGGCGCGGTCCCCAATGGACTCGCTACTTTGGCGCTCACAAGGGGAATTCGTTGGGATTCGCAAGTCCGTTCGTTTGGCATTTTGTTCTCTAGTCGGATAAACTAGTGATCAGGCGACGAACGGTATCTGGGCAGATCTATTTATCTCGACGATCGCTGCCTGACAGAATACTGTAAGACAGCATTTCCGGCAGTCTATTTTTCAAAATTTTCTGGGGGAGGAATCCCTACTTTGACGCTCGTGAGTGGGCT